TAGGATTTGGTAGTATTGATGGCTTCAGGCCTGCCCTGGGAGTCTTGGAACACATCTCCCTCAGTGTGGGAGACTGACACACATAGCTAATATCCTGGATTTGAGATGCCAACATTTTTGGTATACTCGGCTCTTTACTGCCAGGAGTCATTGGTTTTCTTTTCCTGAAGCCAGTAACTGACGATGTAGGACTGCTTCAGGACATTGAAAAGGTGGCAATGTGATTGATTCCTAATGTGCTGGCACATTTGTATGAACACATAAATAATGGAGAACTAAAATGCTGATGAAAAAGACCAGTTACTAAGTCCTTATTTTCCTCAACACTGAAGAAAGCTTGCACCACACTAGGAATGTCATTTCTTGGCAACACTTTGGAAGCTTTAGAATCCACTGTCCTTTCTCTCAAAAAGTTTTCAGCCACCTTCCTAAAATGATATAGAGCTATTATATAGGGCTTGATTTCTTATTTGTGTGGTATGAAAAGAAAAACTCTTAAAAGGAATAGAACACTAGAGAAAATCTTACCTTAACATGAACAGCACACAGCTCTAAGATTGGTTTTCTGCATCCTTGTATAAGAGGGACACACACTCTAGCAGTTCTCCCTTTTCTTACATAGTCCGAAAGCCAACAATGTCTAATAATAAGTCCTCATTATGTTCTTTTGCAGCTTAATATATGGTGGTAGAGCCTTGGAGATGCCCAGTAGAATTCCTTGGGCTTGTTCAACAGTATTCAAGAGGGCACATTTTTATTTGAAGGTATTTGGAATCGTCCTTTCCAAATACCTTCATTGCTTTGGCTGAGTTTAATGAGTAGAGCAAGCGAAACAACACATCACTGAGAAGTGTTCCATTCAACTATATGTGTAGGTGTCATCACTTCACTCCTTGTGCACAAGACTGTGCTGTGTTTATGCATATAAAGGCAGTGCAATATATATTTATACACAAATTTTAACAAGCACGTGTTTTTGATGGCCAGATTTTATCAATTATTTAACATTCACTCGTTGAGAACATATAGTTTGGAAACCTGGTCTGCTTTCACAAAAACCTTCATTGAGCCCACTGACTCTGTAGAAGCTCTATAAATAGAAACAAATTAGGATAGAAATCTGAACAGTTTCCAAGGTTACTGGACACAACCTAAAAATGTCAACAGCACCAAATGAATTGGGACGCATCAAGTCATAAAACACTAGAGAGGATTCTTGGAGTTTTAAAAAAGGGCTGTGTTCACTCCGTGCTCATGTTGGCAATAGGAAGGCTGCCTTGTGCTTGCCTGTGTATATGCCATTAGCTGAACATCTTCTGCCACAGAAATAGAAAAACAATGCTTCCATTGTGCAGCTTGCTTTAAAAATCGAGAACATATTAATAGACACTATTATGAAAATACTTTCGATAACTCAAATTTATACCAAATTACTCTACAAAATAGGAGCAGACAAGACCTCATTATCCTCCTTATGATAAGATTCGGCTTAGGTTTTTGTGAAGTTATGGATGAGATGATGAGGCTCAACAGCCCCGGAGCAGACAGGGCATTTGCATCTCTCAGCACTGGTTTCTGATTTCAATTGTGTTCCTGGCAGCGATTTTGCTTTCCCACTTTTTTGGGTGATGATTCTAGATTGTTCATGATTTCTTCTTCCTCTCTCAGCTCCCGGAAGTGGTGTTCATCAGAACGCTGACCCAAGTCCTGGAAGCTTCTGATTATTCCCATTTCCCCTCGGCGTTCGAATGCAGCCCCAAGATTTCAAATGCTGCACACAGGCACAGGACTCCGGCTCTGTCCAGGTTCCTGGCATCTGATGGCAAGACCCGCAGGCCTGCACATGCCCCCTACTTGCCAGGCTTGTGGACACTTGTAAATTTCATGTACCCAAACTTAAGTGACCCCACAAATCCAATTAAACTTCTAGATTCCAAGTGGCTCCATCGTATTTCTAGTTGCCCAAATCTGAACCCAGAGATACTCTTTGAATCTTCTGATAACTATTCATACCATATGTTCTGATTTTATTATTTTCCAAATATTTTCTGGAAATTTCCCCTAAATACTGCTGATTTTTCATCTTCTCCATTATCATAAAGAATTGCAGCAGACAAGTGCCTCAAAAAACTGAAGGCGAGGGCCAAGGCTCAGCGAGAGGTTTGAGGAAAGCCTAGCCAAGCCAAGGGCAACAGCAGCGGCATCTTGCACGTAGACCTCCTGTGCTGCATTTCTTACAACATTTTGTTGCAGGCTCCTGAACTACTGCCTCCCTCCAGTTCTGTAACTTTCCTTTCTCATAGTTAAATTTGCAGGTATTTTTGAAGGGCAAATTGGTATTTCAATCACTAGACATCAAAATCCTGCTAGAACTGAGTTTGACATCAAACTCAACCCCTTCTTTTTGACAACAAACTCAACCCCTTACTGCCCTGTTTTGGGAAGTCCAGGATCTGCGCCCTGCTTCTCTCTTTTATTTGATATTCCACTGCTTTCAAACTCTGGCTCCTTTTTCAGAAATCTGTTCCTGCAAAGGCACCAGCTTCTCCTCACACCATGCCTCCATCTGCCAAGAACATGAACTTTCCCCTTTACCAGTGACTACCTGCCCATCATTAGGGTCTCAGATGGCCCCAAGATTCTCTGAAAACTCAGTCTAAGGCTACTGTCCTCCCAACACACTTCTGTATCACATGGAGATCCCTACTGCGGCAGCCAGTGTGTGTGAATAATTGCTTATGCGATTGCTTCTCCTCCTGCCAACACTGCTAAATTCTAACCTCCATTATCACAGATAATACGTTTCTCCCATTCGATGTTGTATTTACAGAATTTGATGCACTCTTCAGTCAAGCAGATCTAGGAGATGTGAAAGAATGTAGGCAGAGACTTTGTGAGACATTCCTATCGGGGTACAGGTTCTTAGTGTACGGACAGGAACATAATACATTATGTTTTGATCTTTCCTCTTTCCAAAAATTGTATCTACTTATTCAGCATCAATCTTAACATAGTTACTACTACCCTTTACTTACTATCTGCTAGTGTCCATATTAATGGCTTTACCTATTTGACAAAGTTCTTGTAATATCCATTAACACACAGCTGTGTAAGGTATATTGGTCCAAAAACTCTTCATAATTTTGGTAATGACAAATTATAACTATATATATATATATAGAGAGAGTATAATGTGATGTTCTGATAATATTTTTATGATGTGAAATGATTAAAATAGGCTTTTAGCCTTATTGTTTAAATATTTAAAATCTAGGGCTGGCCAGATAGCTCAGCAGATAAAAGTGACTGCTTAGGGAGATGGTGGGGCTGGGGTTTGATCCCCAGCATGTTGTGCCTGCCCCACCCCCAGGGTGTGCTGACTCGGTGAATGAGACTGCAGGTGGTGACACACTCCTTTAACCCCAGCATTTGGGAGGCTGAAAACAGGAGGTACAAGTCCCAGGTGTGGAGTGAGACCCTCTAGACCCTGTACTAAATGCAAAATAAATAAATAAATAAATAAATATTTAAAAGCTAGTCTAAATAGTAGTGAAATATGTGGTTCAGAATTATCGATTATATTCACCATTGTGCAATGGATCTCTAAGGCATATCACACTGTCACCTGCTTCCTAGCAACTTTGGCCTTCTGCTCACCAGCTGTCTCGTCCACATCTACCCGCCACCTCTGGGAAATACTTTTAGAATTCACATATAAATGAGATCCTCTGTTGTCTTTCTGTGCCTGGCTGTTTTTACTCTGCATAATATCCTCGATTTTGTGGAAATGGCAGAGCTCCACCCCCAGCCTCATAAATGCTCTGCGGTGTTCAGTGGGGCACATGGGCCACGTTTTCTTTATCCTTTCTCCTGATGCCCCTACCGGAACTATTTCCGAATTTTGGCTATTGTGACTAATACCTCAATAAACAAGGAGAGAAGCCTATTTCATGTATTGATTTCAGTTCTTTTCCGTATATACCCAAGGGTGGGATAACTGGATCACAAAGTCATCCTATTTTTCCTTTTCTAAAGAAACTCTATATTGCTCCCAATACTGACTATATTAGTGCAGATTTCACCAACAGGATAAGTCTGAAATATTGCCCATGCTTTTCTTCTGTGTTTTTGATAATAGCCACTCTTAATAGATGCAATGTGATAGCTTGTGGTTCTAGGATTTCCTTCCCTTGTGACCAGTGATGATGAGCATTTTTCACACGTTTATTGGCCATTCAGGTCCCTTACTTTAAGGAGTGTGCATGTAGTTCCTTTACTCTTTTTGGTTTTGAATTGAACTGTTCTCTTGAATTGAGTCATTCTATCTCTTTTTATAATTTAAGAATTAGTACCACACCAAATTATAGCTTACAAATATTTTCTCCCAATACATGGCTTATGCTTTTACTCTGATATTTCTTTTGCTATACACAAACTTTTTAGTTTGCTGGAATCACACTTCGTTTAGTTTTTTGTTGTTGTTGTTACTTGCATCAGTCAGAGCTCAGCAGGATGCCAGATGTGTGTGTGTGTGTGCGTGCACACACGCATAATTTGTACGGTAGCTTTACAATGGATGTCTATAGAATCAAATGTGAAAGAGTGCAAAAGGTCTGCCCAGGAGCTGCTGAAGAGCTGGATCCAGTCGAAGGAGAAGGACCTGGAGCTCGTGGCCAATGCAGGAGGGAAGGTGAAGGATCCCGGTCAGGAGGCTCAAGGGTCTGAAGGGTCTGTGCTGCAAACCTGGAGACGGACATCCCAAGTGGATGGTGAGGAGCAGAGCAGCTCTGAAGATGCCCGACCAACAGTCCCTCTTCTTTCTCCTGTTCTTCCGTTCAGACTCTCAGACTATTGGTTGGAGCTGCTCACACTGAGGGAGGACTTCTGTCATCAGTGAGCTGTCCAGCCACGCCCAGAACTACAGTGAAGTGGTCACTTGGACACCTCTTCCTGGGATCATGTACAAGAAATATTTGCCCAGATAAATTTTCTTGAGCGCTTTCACATTTTTTTTAGTAGTTTTATTGTTTCAGGTTAATTTTTAATCTCTTTTGAGTCAACTTTTATTGTTTGAGTGGACTTTCGTATGGTGTATTCTGGGTGTTCTGAACTGTAGTTTTCGGGGCTCTGCTGCATTTGTCTCCTTGTGCATACCAGCTTCCCAACACAATAGAGTGAAAAGCGTGTCCATTCTCTACCGTATTTTCTTAGATTGAAAATCAAAAATAAATGTGTGATTTCTAGACTCTCTGGTTTCACTGATCAATACATCTGTTTTCATGCCAGTACTAGACTGTTTCTGTTATGATAGCTGTGTGATAGATTTTAAAGTCAGATAGCACGAGTCTTTCCGCTTTGTTCTTGTGCTCTAATTGTTTCCGTAGGGAACTAACTGAATAGGGACTTTAGGAAGTATTTTTTTTTGGTTTCCATGCAGAATGACATGGGGATTTTCATAGATTTTACCTGGATTGTTTTAAGTAGTAAGAAAATGTAAACAGTATTATTAATTTTTCTGACCCTCAAGTACAGAATGCCTTTATATCTTGGGGTCCGTCTATAATTTGCACCACCAGTGTTTTGTAGAAGAGAGCTATTTCAGCTCCTTGGTTACATTTGCTGCTTTGTATTTTTAAAGTTCTATTGTGAGTAAATTGATCTCTTAGTTGCCCTTTCACATAGTTTATTGTGAGCGTGAAGAAACATTATGTATTTTGTGTTTGTTTACCTTGGCAATTTCACTGAGTTTGTTCATCAGCGCTAAGATCTTGCATCTGGATTTCTGTGCATAGAAAATCATGTTGTCAGCAAGGAAAGGCAGTCTTAGTTGGTGCTGTCCTATCTGGATGCCTTCCATTGCTTTTACTTGTCTAACGGCCTGGCTAGGTTTTCCCATCTGATGTTGAGCAGAAATGGTAGAGCGGGCATCCGTCTCTTGCTTCCAGTTCCATAGAAAATGCTACCAATTTCCATGAGCTGTATGCTAGCTGTGGGCTTTTCAGATGTGGTGTTTATTATGTTAAGGTACATTCTTTCTATGACTAACTGAAGAGTTTTATCACAAAATCATGCTGAGTTTTGTAAAGTTCCTTTTCTGCATATTAGAGGTAAAATAGGATTTGTAAAACTTTTTATTTCTTAAAATGACTAGTAGGCCTGAACGACAGGAGTTTTCTCTTAGGCTATTTTCATAAGCTTCTCCATATCTGAATGGCTTTCCACTTTCTTCAGTTTCCAAAAATTCTAAATAAGCTCAACCTGCCTTTTTTCATGGAGGTTTCTTAACATTTTAGCCCCTATTGATTTAGCGAAACAAAGACGGCTAAGAGAAAGGTAAGGGCCAGCATATTTGTCCATGTGTGTCGTTCCTCATTTAGGTCATGTGGTCCGCTCTCCACTGTGAAGCAACACACTGCTTTTCATGTTTTATTGAACCCTTCGACCTAATAGAAATTTAGCATCATCCCTTTGATTTTGTAAGTCACAACATAAAAATTTAAACAGAGAAAAATACAATTTAAAACATTAAATGTTACATTATACTAAATTTCTTATATTAGATTTCTTTTAATAACTGATTCCTAAACTTATAATGCAGGAAGGATTCTTGCCAAATATCTTTGCATGTTCTCACTTAACAGTTAATGAAATTTTGTTAAAATATATTTAATTTTCTACTGTCTTGGTTTCTGTTAAAATCCAATTAAAAGTTAATGTTTAGGAACTGATATGTAAAGATAGTGATGTGTCTTTCATTGCTAATTGATTTTCTTAGTTGTCTTTAGAAGTAATTCATTACCTCAGAAAATCTAATTTAAAAAAATTAAAGCAATACCTTCTCGTACTATACGTTTTCCTTCTCATTTTTCCATTTTTAAAATTTTCTTGTCACCTACTAGGTAAGGTACTTTAGTGTGAAATAAGACAAAAGAATGCAGTTTATTTCTACCGTAATTACAATTTCTGTAATGAAAGCATAAATTGCTTTATTCTTCCCCTTAATTATAGAGTTGCATCTCAGCCCACACAGTGTTACCTTCTAACACTGAAAAATATTCAAAAACTATGCATTAAGTAGCTTATAATGCTAAAAAATAAATTTAAGTCATGTCTTGGAATATTTATATGTGACTACCTTGATAATTAGTGAGCCCATCCTTCCATTAACCTTTAATTAGGGTGATTTCTAATCTTTGTTACAATCCCCGAAGGTGAAATAGGAAGTAAAAAATAATTCTGAGGTGAAAATATCCTCATAATGAATATCAGAGGTGCACAGTGGTCCAGGAAGTCTAAAACTGGAAGGGAACCCTGGACTTGTAGGGTGAAAAAGCCATTATAAGACATGTGCCTCTACTAACTTAGGGGGTGCAGGGGTGCCTGGTGAGGGGAGGTGGCCTTATCTGACGTGTTTCTGCAGGAGTTTTTCTAATTCTTGGAGAAAAATAGTCTGAGTATGGTACAGATGGAAGGAGGAGTTAGAGCATCACTGGTAGCATTAAGGCAAGAAATGATGGGAGCTAGCACTGGGATTGTAGGAGTGGAGAAGCTGAGACAGTTGTTCGATGACGGGGAAGTCCGCTGAGCCTGAAGGTTGGGTGCGGGAGAAGTAGGAGTCACCCCAAAGCTCTGTGGTTGGAGCTCTGAAGATGGGCTTGTCTGTTCTCTTTTCCTTTGATAGAGAGCACAATTTGATAAACAGAGAGCACAAATTGAGCAGGGGAAGACTGTGGAAGATGCATAAGAGGTTTTGGTTCTTCCCAGTTTAACACAAACTAGAAAACAAAATGAAGATACAAAGTACGCACACTGGACATCTATCAGTTAGTCAAGACATCGTCTCACCCACACAGCTTTCTGATTCACAGCCTTCTAAATATCCACTGGAGCTTTCTTTACCACTCTGTGTTCATTTGCTTTTCTTCACAGAAATTCCTATTTAGTTTCGGTCCAGCTTTGTCCCCCTTTCAGAACCCAGGCTTGCTGTGTGTCATCGGGGACACACTCGCCACCTGAGCATCTACCGCTTAGTGAGGATGGCCTGGGCCACTCTGCTTAAGTTTGCAGTGGCATTCTCATTTTTCAGAAGGACTCTTCCCCCTTCCTCTGGCACCTCTTTTCATAGCACCTCATTCCACTGTGTGGCATGCCACATATTTTCTCATTTCTTCATTACCTCCTCAACCTGGCTATCTCAACAAAGTCAACAATTTTAGTGTACTTCTCCGACCAGAAGCATTCCCTTATCCTTACGACAGTGCTTGAGACAACACAGACATGCTGTAATATTTACTGAACGAATGAATCATTTAAACTTTTGATGTGTGTTGGCAAAAGGACTCATAAAGAGTCCTAGCTCAGGTCCGGTGAGTGTGTGGAGAGCTTCCTGCTACCCTGCGCCAGCGGGACCAGTCCCAGTCCAGGCGCAGCGTGGGCCAGACCCTCTCCCATCCCCTCGGGCCGCCCCACACCACTCTGCCGTACGTCCCCACCCGTCCTGACGAGTAGGAATTGCTGCCAACTTCCGGGAACCCCCAGACCCAGTCCTAGCCCAGGTCCGCA